TCCCAGAAAAATATAAAAACCGGTGGAGTTCGTGCAACCCTCAGCCTCCAAATTCGGAGCTTTCCTTATAAATTGGAAACCGTAAAATGTTAACCGGTGTTGCGACCGAGGAGTTCCCCAGGCAGGGCCAGGCTAGCGCCACGGTATATGCTCCCGTAGGGAGCAGAGTAACGCCAACCGTGGCGACCCCACTCGGCGACTAGCGGCGAACACCAAAAAGGTTCCAACCACTGATCTCTATTTTACTACAATAGAGGTCAGTGGTTCCAACTCTTGCATGGTGGACGTATCGGGTATAGAAGAAAGCGGGTGTTTTGTAATATCTAGGCCTTTCATCGTGTGAAAACTATTTTTATTATCATAGGTAAGCACTCTAAAAGCATTTGCAGCACTTGCTATGGTCTGAGCGAGCGAAGAAGTCTTGTTTTGAGCCCAAATCACCTTACGGTAGCACACGATGCAGCGGGCTCTGCGGAGAGTAGGCGGCAGTTCTGCGGTTCTACCGCCAACTTTTCGAGGAGTTTCCCCAGTTTTCAAAGGAAACCGTGTCAGTACAAAGGCGGGTTTATTCGGAATGTCGACGATCCTTTCTATTCGCGCGTTTTTTTACTCTTCATTTCTAATAGAATCGTTAGGTGCTGTCGAGCGAATTCGGTTATTGTTGAAACGCAGGTCGTGTTGATAGCACAAATTGTCAAAGCACATTGCTACCGCTACCAGTATTTTAAGGTGTTCCTACGGTAGATTATAATTCTATTTTACTTGCAATCCGAAGTGAGAAGCTGGCAAAAAATAACGTCGCAACATCGTTGACATTGGTCATAACGTTAATTACGATCGTGTCCACGCCAAATTTCGACGGGACGGATTGTACAAAACTTCTTAGCGCTATTGAGTGCTGCTTGCTGCTTGGCGACATCTCTTGAACCAGTTCCATAGGCTCCTGAAAAGATATATCTAATGTGTGCCTTAGTTGTATCAATTACCCATCAACTCGCAGCATATCGCTAAATACCGAGTCTTATTCTGTGAAATTAACTTCCATTAATTAATAAATTACCCGTGAGTCCACTGACGGGCAGACTGGGGAACTTGCCGTCGCCTCCATGAGCAACTAAATGAAATTACATAAAATTTTTAACAATATAAACACTACAATTTCAAGTCGTAGATAATTGGTGCGTGTGCATATTCAGTAATTAGACAGCAAGAGGGTTGGCCAGTTATTGAAATGAAGTGAAGGGTCTCCGCATTCGATGAACAATATAGCCAGTGCAGGATGACTGCTAGCCAGGGGTCTGTAACCTGCATCACACAGTAGTAATACACGAAAGCGTGCCGGTACGATACTCATCCAGATCGAAACAAGAAGAGGTGCACGATTGTGCACGGGATCCCTGGCTTCTGCAGCGCGAACTTTCGTTCCATGTGCTCCAAGCTAAGACGCGCTAATGAAGTCACAGATGCAGAATAAAGCAAGCGTATAGTCAATGCGTGACAACCAATGCGGTATCGTATGTGCGCGCAGGAAACATGATACAGTAATCAGACGAGAGAATTTCACGGCGAGTTAGCGGCAAGCCTGTACAGTAGCCGTCGACTGACGCGCACGTTTCAAATATTACGCATGCAACATACCTCTTTCTCAGTTCCTCGTGAAAGAGGAGCTCTCCGCGGAAGCTTCTTCGGCTTGTGGGCAAAGATCGAAGGCACGCAATCTCGTGCTAGCTTACGTTTGCCGTCGTTCCGGCGCCCAGAAAGCTGGTCCTCGGCAAAATGAACCTACGAACATCGCAGTTTGTGTTCATTCAGTTCTTCAAACTGTAGCATGATTTATCGCAATAATATAACTTACCTCGAACAGCCGAGTATACAAGAAGTGGGAGTGAATCCCTCTCTGCTGATCGGCGTAAACCACAATAGTCGTCGTTTGCGATTTCTCTCGCCATCCGGGATACGAAACAGCTGTTTGCCAGCCTCATGCCGGTTACTGCGGCCAAAAGCGCAGCACCCAGGCATCTGGGTCCCTTTCAGCCGCTCGAAATGCTGCAAAAAAAAAAAAAAAAACGACTGGCTATACAACAACAATGCTCCCGCTGCGAAGACTGGAATCTTTTGCGAAAGCACGGGAAAAGTTTGCCCACGTGATCGCCGTGAGCCAATAGGGAAAGCGGAGTGTCGGCAGACTCGAACATCAATCAATGGCGCTACTCTGGCTCCCTGCGGAAGCCATATACAGTGGCGCTAGGCCAGGCCAGGACCGGAACCGGAGGCCGACTCCCGGCAGGAACATCACGAGACGGGAGGGTCTCTCGCGCCAAACTCAGTCTAATACATATATACAAAGTATCCACATCACCCGAGAGCACACTTGCGACCTCCAGTATGCTCCTTTTATCAGGTCGCTCTTCGGTGCTCCAGGAGTTGACAGGCAGAGATGGCAAAATTACTTTCAAAAAGTAATTAAATTACGTTACTCATTACTTTTCTGAAAACTGCAAAAATATAATTAAATTACATTACAAATTACCGCGGACTAAAAGTAATGACATTACATTACAATTACTTTCCAAGAGTAATGAAATTACTTTGAAATTACTTTGACATTACTTTTGAATACTTCGAGGAGGTCCTTCGCGCTCATTTTAGTTACCGTATACACCAACAGTGCTTACAAAACAAGCCTTCGTTTGCCCACACAGCGCGTGTGCAGGAACCAGATCCGGGAGAAGCGAGGCGCTGCGCATGCGCAGTGCCGACAGCAGCGCCAACGCAGTGATGTGACGTCAAAGAGCTGGGTTGGTCTATATGTACCAAAACTCATATCGTCCTGTTTGCACCGCAACAACCTTATGTGCCTCAAAGTGAACCATACCGAACAGTGGTTTTGCTGGCGCACACGACATAACTGCTGCACATGATGAATAGGTTCTTTAGATGTGACTCAGAAAGATCGTCGAGTCACCGGTTTCGCTTTTCATTCAACGGTGAATGTTCTTACTAAAAGGGTGATATGGTTCCAGCTACCTGATTCAGAAGTTGTAGACCTTGTCAGTCTGTTAAGTCGGGCAACGGCAGCACGTTCTTACAAGGTGTCGATCGTCACGTGGAACGTTTCAATCCGCCTCGGACGCAATCTAATTCAATTCTCCCGAGAGTACTACATTTGGCGATAACTTTTCTTGGCAATGCAAGGATAGGAGGAAAGCCCGCGCACTGCTTATTTATTCAGCGCTCAAAATGGGAAAGTGAATGCGTGCCTGTACCCTCCACTGCATTGCCAAGAAAAGTTGTCGACGAGTATAGTTGACCTATTCTCGGTCATTCCTTTCAAGGAGCATTTTCCCGAAACACCCGAGGAGTCCAAGTTTTTTGCGTTTTGTCACACAAAGGGCGCGGGTAATTGCTGAGCAGAAGCGCCGCCATTTGAGGAATTGCGCGAGCTTCCTGAATTGCGTACTTTCCCAACAAACGGGGGGCGATATCTGCTTGTAGGCTTATTCCCGAATAAACTTCCCAAGGGAAG